ATATATATATATATATATATATATATATATATATATAAACAAACTAAACAAACGTATATCATTGTTTAAAATAAATTATTATTCTGAATTATGAATTTCTATCTTTAATTTGTATAATGTAAAAAATAAAAAAATAGAAAATTTCACAAATGAATTATGAAAATTATATCGAAGGCAATTGCAAGTGTTTAGCATCACAAATTATCCTTTTATATATTTCTCTTGATTCGATCTTTCTATATACATTGAACTATTCTAAATGATAATTTGATGCAAATAATGATTTTTTTCTCTTTTTTATTGTGAATTTGTTCCAATGCATTTACGCGTAATATGAACGGCTCGATGTTACGTGTGCATTTCAGGTCTGATCAAGTCGTTATGAAAACCGCGATCGCGGCGCCAGGTGATGACCCAGTTTGGAACACAACATTAATTTTCACCAGAATTAAAGAAATCGATTTAATAGATGATATAATCGAAGTGACTATCTGGGATTACTACCATCACGGCGATAATATTTTACTCGGCGAATGCGTCATCAACATCGAACAAGCTCTCAGCTATAAGAAAGCTATTTGGCAAGTATTCTTTACGAAAGATAAAAAAAAAAGTACGATTATCTGTTGTTTTCCTGTTGTACACAGAGTGATTGAAAACATGTAGAACGAAGAGACTTTATGCGTATAGATGATCTCTATGAAAGACACAAATGTAAAAATCAGTGAAGAATGACTTGCACGAAATCTATAATTATTCAGTCGTGTTGTAAATTATCACTGTCGTCCATAACTCTGTGATTAACTAAAAAATTATACTATATACTAATATAGTAGTAGTATAGTAATATAGTATGTGATATATACTATATTTATACTATATTACTATATTATACTAATATACTAATATAGTATTATAGCATATTAGTGTACATCAGTGTATATTAATATAGTAATATATATTAGTATATTAGTATAATAGTAGTAATATAGCAATATAATACTATACTACAAATACTATACTATAAAATACGATACTACAACGATACTAGCAATACTGATAAAAGTGTGTTATAACGTGTCTTTCGTTTACGTGTGAATTTAATACTTTTAGAGTCACGGAATGTGTATGAATGAATGTATGTGCTAGTTTTCCGTGTCTATGATAATGGAACGGAATGTTTTCTCAGGTATCAACTAGAACGCTTTTATGTACCCTGCCCCAATTCCTCGGGAACATCGTGTAGGCTAGCGCAAAGGACCCTGTGCGCAAGAAGCGGAGATGTTGGCTTGCATCCGGGAAATGTTAGAAGAAGCCAATTCCGAGAGCCGGAACCCGACTTGTACTTTGACCAAGATTACAACAGATCTTTTCCCGGCAGCACAAGAAGCAGTGGCCACAGCCGATGCAGCACCAAGAGTAAATGTACGTGCACTTTCATTGATTCCATTTCTCACACTTATTTCTCGCACTCGTATACGAATGGCCTAGCCATACTACGTGCGACAAACTTCTTCAATTCTCTCTCTCTCTCTCTTTCTTTCTCTGTCGAGACTAAGACACACAGACTGACGCTGGCAATTTTCGAAATTGGAAATCCATTCAGCCGCATGATTCGCGTCGTTTTTTCTTACACGAGAAATAATAAAGGTGCAGCGAGTGTCGTTTGAAAGATTTAAACTGTACAAAACCATCGACACGAGAGAAAGCTTCAGAAACACTTCGTTCACTTTCTTCTGACATGTTTCTGAGCGAAGATATTACTTTAGTATAGCGAAGATATTTTTTTTTTTTTTCTCGAAAATGATCTAGATCGTAAATGGATAGAAACATTGAAGAAAGAACTTTGTTCACAACTGAATCTTGCCACGAGTGTTGACAATTAAAGCCTTCCTCACTAATCCGAAAATTTGACGACTTTCTCTTTTTAGCCATTTCATTCAACACAAATGAGGTGTAACTCTGGTTTTTATAATTTAATAATACGTTTACGCCAGACTTGTATCTTATCTTTGATCCGTAAAACCAAGATGGATTCAATATATAGATAAGGGATGAACAATCTTTCCATTATAGTTCAATTGGTTTCTTCTTCTTAATTTTTATTTTAGTACAAAAATAAACGATAAATTATTCCAGATATTTATCTATACAAATTTTCTTATTCGCACGATTAAAAAGGAATTCATTCAAGCAGAGACGTGTTTCATTCGATAAATATTATAACGAGTACTGCACACACGTGTAGCACACTGTGTACTATATGCAATTGTGCAATTTCCGATAATTATCCCAACATCCACGGTTGGAAATACTGTACATTAATCCAGAAATATATTGTCGCGACATATAAACACAACGATGTGAAACGAATAAATAAAATAAATTGACGCGAAAATTACTACCTAAAAAATAATCAGCAAAACCGAATTGTTTATGAAGGCACTTTATGTCAAATTTACGCAGTAAATTTTTACGGGATTCATGTGGGAGGCACTTTATGAAAAAAAATATTTGACACGCATTTTTTATCGACCATCGTTTACACTGAAGAGGTAAAGATAGTCGTAAAAATTGGAAATTGGAACTATATCTTTCAAAATATCTCGAATGAGTGTAGGAGAATAATTTTCAAAATTAATCAAATTTTAACGAATTTTAGAATTAAATTACGCAACAATTTCTTTCTTTTTTTTTTTTTCAATGGTATTGAAGTTCTAGTAAAAATTTGACATTTTCATTAAAACGTCAATCGATTTTTTTTTTTTTTCATGTAACATTTTATAAAAACGTTTACACTTTTGAAACGTTTACACTTTGTAGTTGAAATACAACAATAGTTATTTAGAATAGCTTTTTCCATTTTACGTGAAATATTCTGGCATCGTAGAAAAAAATTGCTGGTGAATCTATCATTCGAGCTAGCACAACATCCAGACTCAATTAAAATAATTTCATATAAATTCATATATATCACACGAAAGATTTTGGTATTTCTTGTAATTTTAATCTACCTTTTCATAATATTGGAAAAAAGGATCTTGAATTTTAATTGAAATTCAAGGACAATTAAATATGAATTCTATATGAATTTGAAAATTAAACGTGTGAGATTATTTAAATTGCTAATACACATTCATCGAATGCTAAAATGAAATATAAATAATTTCTAAATACTATTAAACACTATCGAATAATCGTAATGTTGGAAGTAAAGTTACTTGTATACCAAGTAAAAGTGCTTATATAAAATATTAAAAAAAAATGATTATTTAAATAGTACATCATCTCACTTGATTCTGTCATCTCGAAATGATATTGCGTTAAGTTTGTTTAAAAATGAGTAAATAACTTTCTTCCGATATTATTTCATCGTCGAAAAAAATTGAAAAATTGGAAGCAACGATACACGCGTCGAATAAATCTTTTAGAATCTTCTCACTGTACATTTATTCTGACGAACAAAGAGATGTTATTGAAAAATATGTGTGAAAAGCAAGATAGATAATGTCGATATATTCAGAAAAAAGTCAAACATGAATGTAAGAACGTACATTCTAATCTGAATGCTGAACGAGAGAGACTATTATTATCCTCCAGTAGTTGTCAGTAAAATTTCACTGACTATTCGTTGGCGTTTCAACCTTTTTATATTTCTGTATCGAAAGTTCTCGTTACACCCGTAGAACGTACAAAGTAAAATAAATTGCCACAAAGCTACGTTTCAAAATCCAAAGGAGGAAGGATATTTCAAAGTAAATTTAAAATTCATATCGCTTCAGGAAAGTCTTTTGACTGGAAAAAAAAAAAGTTACTATGAAATACTGTCTACTATGAATCTGCGGAGCGTACGATTCTTTATGAAACGTAATTTCCGAATCTAAAAATGTATATCGTAATTCACTGTTAAATGGTTACACGCGAAAAACAAATAATAAAAAATTACATATGCATCGGATCGTTTTTAGAAACATATGATTTCGATTATGTACAATTGATTCAAGTATGAAGCAAAAATCAAATGCAGGGGTAACGTAGAATCGAGAATATGATTTAGAAGCGACGTAAAAGCTAATGTAAGAATTTCAATTAAAACCAAAGTTTTTAACATTAATTTATTTGGAAAAGAGTATTTTCTCAGCTCGTACAATTTATATTTTAGAAACAAGCTAAACATATTTCCGAAATTTACAACAATTTCTGCAACAAGAAATCTACTCTGTGTTAATGCACTTTAATTATTAAATTTAATGATTAAAGAGATAATTTTTTCTAAAATAATTTTAAAATAAGGCGAACCTTTTCCCGAAAAATTTCATCATAAAATATTATATTTTATTCTGCCAATACATTTTGATACCTATATTCATTTATGTTTTACACATATATTACATTTTATTAAGAAAATCTTATTTCTTGCAGATAAATGTACAACTCGAGAAAAAAATAAATCTGTGCGATCTAGATCAGATTGAATCAGGCTTGTTTAACTTGTTTATACATTGTAAAAACCAGGTGAAGGTTGAAAATCAAACTGCCAACGAGACGAGATATCGTCGTGGAAATGTTAGGTCACCCATGGTTAGGTCACTTCTCCTCGTTTACGTTCTTGTCCTCAAATGAATAGATTCTATTTTCTAGTGTCTTCGATCTCGCAAATTCATTTCTGTTCCACTCAGTTTCTCAACCTCAGTGTCTTCAAAGTGCACAGAGGCTGGGAATATAATTAATATTCACTTTCAATATCATCAACTTCTTTCAAGTACCATTGACTTTGTAGTCCTCGAGTATTGTTAACTTTGAAATCATTGATATATTTACAATATGGCGAACGACTATAATTTCCTTCTGTTAGATAGTTGAAATTTGAATTTTATGGAAATTTATTATTCAACTGAGACGAATGGATTTCACAATGTCGCAAATGTGATAAAAATTACGTTACGAACAAAAGAGAACGAATTATAACTTGGAATTATTGACAATTAGAAATTCTTCGTCGAACGATGTCTTTCCGATCATTGAAAATAAAAAAAATGCTCGACACTCGATTTAATTTCCACGATTGATATCTCATTCGTTTCAAATCACAGGCAAACGTCTGACTTTTAATAAACACACACGATAAATTTGGAGAAGGAACGAATATGTATCAGCGTTAGCTGTTTTTATCGAACAGCTTTTAAAACACTTGAAGCTCTTGAAACTCTCTGAAAACTTTCAATCGCGTGTTCGGCGCACGAAGATATAATTTATAAACAATTATAGACAAGTAACAGTCAGGTAAATTATTTTCGAACGTGTAAATCTTGCGGCAAGTTATCACGCCCATCACTGTTTCTTCAAGTCATCTATCAAAGAAATTCAGCTTTCAACATTGAACACGTAGAAAATGAATAAAATGTTCGATTGTCCAGGCGGAAGTACGTGTCGACGCGTCGAACGTGATGCACCACAGGCCAGCGCGTCGAATATGACGCACGATCAACGGCGAAGCCCGGTCGTCAGGCCGATAAGGAATCCTGCGGAAGGTCTGCGATCATCGTTAAAAACGACGAAGAAGGAGTCTGACAGGAATCTCTCAGGAGACAAGAGCCGCGATGGTACGTCTCTCTCTCTTTCTCTTGGCCTCATCATTTCCTCCGTCAAATCGTTCATTCATCCGTGCATCAATTGTTTGCCTGTCTGTTTAACTGTCTGACTGTCTTTCACGCGCTCGTCAGTTTATTTCTATATATATGTTCCTTCGTCTCTGTTCTCTCTCACACACGCACACTCTCTCTCATTTTCTCACCACCACCACCATCGTTCTCTCTCAATCGGCTCTCTTCTCGATCCATCATCCTCGGTCCACCAGCAGATCGACGAATCTTCCACGTCGGCCGTGCGTATCGTACGCATGCGAATAAATGTATGTGTGCACGGACGTACATGTATTCGTGTAGATAACGAGGGGCAGCGGTGTGAGGGAGGGTAGGGGCAAGGTAAACTGAATTAGAGTTGGCTAGAGTGATTATCACCCGCCTCGTCGATTCGATTTAATCCGAGTTAACTCGATTTTCGTTGAATGCGAGAGGTGACTTCTGTGTAGAAACCGCGCGTTACTGTTGCAGATAGTTGATTATCCAGAAACGGAGACAAACTGCAGATTCTCTTTCATTTCCGCCACGACGAACTAAGACGAGATTCGAAGCACGTTTATGTCCCGTTGTTTGAATCGAGCGACGAACCAACGAGAATAAAAATCTCTTCGACGATGCGTGTCCTCTTCGAGGGATTTCTCCTTTTTCGCTTCAAATCTTTGCTCTCTTCAAAATAAATTTCGAAATAGAAACTACGAATATTTTGTTACACTTGTACATTATGTATATGTGTACGTCCGTATTATTTGTGGCTGCATTTTTTCATACATCATTCGCGAGTCTCTTTGTTATCTCTACACTTGTATGTGTTTTCTG